GCGGAACAGCTAGTAGTTTCGAACTGCTGACCTTGTGGTTCGCAGAGGTGGGTCAAATCATGAGGGTCTTTGAAAACCCTCAAAAGAATTTAGAATTCGTATGTGGGGGAAATGGAGATACGGAATTTTGTGTGGAGAACGTTATGATCAAAGTGAGCTGGTGTTAAGAAAAGCTTATCGGAGAGCAGTGGCTCCGTTGATAAGCACTGAACTGCGAATCATAAGGTCTGTGGTTTGAGCCCGTTAGTGGCTCTGTGGGAGAAAGGTGAGGCATTCTGCTCCTGCAAAGATTTAAAGCCTCAGAAACACTATACAGGGTCGCTATGAGTTGGAACCACCTTTATGTCACGTAACAACAACAGCATGATCATGGTTGGAGGCTTCTTGGTCCAATGATTAAGCACTGGCTGTTGACTTAAAGGTAGGCAGTTTGAAACTAACAGCTGCTCTGTGAGAGAGCAGTCTACTTCTGTAAAGCTTCTAGCCTTGTAAACCCTATGGGGCAGTTCAGCCTCTTCAGTTGGGTCTGTATGAGACGGAATTGCCTCAACAATGGCTGATAGGTATTATTATTACAGTAATAGCTTAGATGCCAAAGTTCTGATATCCAGAGACTGAAAGAATAGAGAGGAAATGGCATGAGGTTTGGTGGGCTGACTGAGAAATAAAGGAATCATTATCCAAAATAGGGGAACTCTCAGGTTTATTGAGAGCTAGCTAAAGAAACTAGAAGAAATGGATAGCAGTTAGTCAGAAACTGATGCTCTGTCTCTGTGAGATTGTGAAGGTCCCAGTTGTTGACATGCTGGGATGTGACCTGTTGTTGCTATTGCTGTGTGCTGTTGAATCAGTTCTGACTCATAGTGATCATAGGATCAGCACTTAGATCAGAGAAAAGACATGTTTTTTTTCAGAGTCCAGTCAGAAGCATCCCAGAGCAAGGTGACAGGCATAGTAATTACAGCGGGGATTTTTGTTTGTTTGTTTTTGTTTATTTAAACAAATTTTCTTGATTATAAAAATCAACTCATTCATTTTGACAAATTGGCATCAAAACCGTGAAAAAGTCCCATGTTTATTTAGCAGATAGGAACAGTCAGTAAAGGTGAGGTGCAGAGCTAAGATAAAGGAAAATGATTGTATAGGAGAAAGTGGTAGCTATCAAAACAACAAACACAAGCTACTTGATTATGCTCACTGAAATGGATGCTTAAGTGCTTTGAACAACGACTTGACTTAAGGACTGAAGAATGAATTGTGTGTTCATAAACATGCATAGTCAATTGCCACTGAGAGAGGACCCATCACCAGGCCCAAACATACTGAGCCAATCATGCTCTTTCCTCATCTTCTAATTATTCTTAGCAATAGTGGTATGAATGGCCAGATTTTTTACCGACCCATACTTAAAGAGCAACAAGCCTCTCATTTTTCTCCTAAATACCATTATTTGAAACATTCCTGTTACTGATTTACACAATACACATTTATGTCCAAATTAGACATTTTTGCTTCTTTCATTTATTCTTTATTATTTGAGTCAGATTTCTACCAGTGGCATGACTGTTCAGCTTGTTTCCAGGGAAACAGTTGAATTTTCCTCTGCAAATATAAGATTCTGTCCTAACTAATCTTGATTGCATTTTGTTATGAAGGAATATTTTAAGTAGTTGTTTATTCATAGTTTTCTTCTTTTTCTGACATTTTCTTATGGAAATCATGTACAAAATTACTGTTCTGAGCGAATCCAGTTTTTTCTCTGTATACAAGATTCTATGGAGAAAAGAGAATAATTGATTAAGAGGGTTTGCTTAGACCAGAGAAAGTCAGAGAACAAATTTTACCAGGTTGATTTCTAGTTTTCACTTCTAAAGCTCAGCAGCAACAAAAAACCAAGACAGCTTTATCAATAATAGGCAAAGGACTTGAACATCCATTTCAGTGAGCATATTCTAACTGCCATTAAGAACATGGAAAGATGCTCAATGCCATTCGCCACTTGGGAGATGCAAATCAAAACAGTAAGGAGATACCATGGCGCAGCCACTAGAATGGCAGTGATCAAAATAATGGGCAATTTGGGTGCTGGCATGGTTTTAGAGAATCTGGAACCCTTATTCATTGTTAGTGGGAATGTAAAATGGTATGTTGTTGTTAAGTGTCACTGAGTCAGTTCTGACTCCGAGGAGTGGCTGGTAGGGTTAAGCTGCCAAACTTGTGGATAGCACTTCAGTGCTTATCCTACAGCACTACACCAGTACTCTTAAAGATGGTATGTTGTTGTTGTTAAGTGCTGTTGAGTTGGGTCCGACTCATAACGACCCTGTATAGGGTTCCTTTGGAGCAACCAATGGGCTTGAACCACCGATCTTATTGTTCACAGTCCAGTGCTGGTCCTACAGTGCCACACCAGGAACTGAAAAATGATATAGCCACTGTCAAAAAGACTCCATCAAGGGAGAAAAGCAAAGTGCAGGACCCTGTCCAGGGAGGTGGTGACACTGGGGATGGAGACAGAAATGATGACGTGGAGAGAGGGAGTGGCTGGGGACTTTGGACTCAGGGAGGGAGAGGGGCTGTGTGCTGCTGGCCAGGGGGCAGGCGTGTGGGGTGCACTCTTTGGTTGTTTGATGGTGCACGCAGGGGATTGTAATCATTGCAATGAAACGAAACATGATAGGATGAATGTAAAGATAATGTTCTCCCAAGTAAACTAACACATAATTCACAATAAAGAAAAAGAAAAACACCCAGTTAAAAGAAAAAAAAAAAAGAGTTTGATAGGTCCTCAAAAAGTTGCACGTAGGTCTACCATATGACTCAGAAATGCCAATCCTAGATATATCAAGGGTATTCAGAAAGTTCATTGGAAATGCAAGTCATGAAAAAACTATACATGAATTTTAATTTTTCACCAAAATAAACTTGAAGTCCTGGTGTGGTACTGTGGGATAATGCACTGGACCACAAGGTTAGTTTGAACTACAAGGTCGGTAGTTCAAAGTCACTTTGGAAACCCTATGTAGGGTTGCTACAATCCAGAACTGACTTGAAGGCACTTAACAACAACAACAACTAGTTATAACATGTCTGAACAGGAGCTGTTTTGAGGCCCTAACAGAAAAATGTGAATTCTGCTAGAATTGAATCAAGAACAAACATCAAATTTATGGTGAAGTTTGGGTGGAAGAACAGTGATATAATTGATGCTTTACAAAAACCTTATGGAGACAGTACCCTTAAGAAAGCATCCATTTACATTTCCTTTTCAGAAGGGTTGAAGATGACTCCTGCAGCTGCAGATTATCCACATCAATTTGAGAGGAAAAACGTAGTCTTTGTTCACACCTTCATTGTAGAGGACCATTATTAACAACAGAGACAATAACCAGCACCAGAGATGCAACAATATGTGACACTAACCACCATTCCCACAATCCTCTTTAGTAATCCGTTGTAGTCACTAAACGGAACTCAAAAGACAATACTCACCTTATGGGGTTTTACAGGGAAGTTAACAGTTAGAATTCGGGATTAGAAAATAAATGCCCATAGGACACACCACGCCACCATAAACATGAGCCTGAAGGCACTTGACTTTAGCTACTTGGGCACTTGGCTTTAGCTCCTGAAGGCACATGGCTTTAGCTCCAAACCTAGCTCTCCCACGTCAGTGCCTGGAAGCACTCGACTCTACAATCCTGCCCAAAGTCACTCAAGTTTACTTACTTTGTGGGTTAGGAAATCCACTGCCCTGTCTCATGAATTCTCTGGTTCATGGTTCTGCTGCTGCTACGCCTCTCTCACTGTATGGTATCACTGCTTTACTGTCTCTGGATCCAGAGGGGGCTCCCTCCGTCCTGGTTTTTTGTTTTTGTTTTTTCTTTGATGATAGTGTGATCACCACTCCTGCTTCTGAGATGGCTCATTTTAAACCCATGCTAAAGTTTCAAGTTTTTACAATTACAATGAACTCTGCTAACATCCGCAGCTGAATCATGTCACCATATTAGTGTCTTCTCTCACCTTCTCTTGTCCCACCTTCCCTTACCCAGATCCAGAGGGGCAGAAATGTTGTTTGGTGGGAGGTGCAGACTATGGCTAGAAGAGACGTTAGATAATTCACAACACCACAGCAGCTATCTCAGTTAGTTCAACTTACACAATAATGACTGAAAATTAAAGTTGAGCAATTTTTCTGCTTAATAAGTACTAAGACTGTTGTGCCTAGATCAGCTGTAGACTAAAACAGGGCTTTCAGTAAAAATTTTAAATATATGGGATCCAGATCTGGAAGCATTTCCTAGAAGAATTGTACCAGGCGATGCAATGTAGCTTTGCAAATACAATCCTGAAGACAATCATAATGGTGACCAAAATAAT